GCTCTTTCTGGAGACAAATGCATATTCAACAAGACCCTGGGTATGCCAGTCCTGTGGCACTTGCCTGTGTGCCCCGCTCCCGAGGAGGCTGAAGCAGGAGGATCCCGTGGGTCTAGGAGCTCCAAGCCCAAACTGAGCAACACAGTGAGAACCCATCTCAAAAAAAAATAAATAAATAAAATAAAGAAAGAAAGAAAAGAAATAAAAAAGTATACACATAAGAACAAACAAACAAAAACGATGGCTGGAGAAATAGCTCTGCCATCTAAGCACCTGCCTGTCAACTTCACGGACCCCAGTTCGATCCCCAGTACTACATGTCATGCCAGCCCAAAGCCCCAGGCATGCTATGCTGCCACCAAAGGTGGGCACAGTGGTGTGTGCCAATAGTTCCAGCACTGGGGAGTTTGAGACAGGAAGATTGGTATGAGTAGAAAATAAATAAAGTATTTGTAAATGATTTTTTTAAAAAGTCAGAAAAAACTTGTAGAGTTAATAAGAAGTAGAACCCTAAGTGGGATCTAACAATTGCTAGATTAAAATAACAAAATTTAGTGCTGAAATTATTTTTAACTGTATGTTTTGCATAGTTTAATTGTGCTTTTAACAATGTTATATCATAAAATTTGGGCAAATCAAAGTGGTGAAGTTTGTTTGAGCACAAGGCTAGCCATGAATTTGTGCCAGACTAGAAGGTATATTGCTCCCCTGATACAGTAAAGGAGAAATATTCACAAGGTGGACATGGGCACAAAACAAAAGAAAAAAATAGATTACAGTGGAGATTCCCTAATCAGAGGTTAGGCTGATGGTGTCTGGTTGGTTATGTTTAGGTTTCATTTTATAATTTAGTTTGAATTGGGCACACATAAAAACACAGTTCCCCAAAGTGTCCCATTCTAATTCTAATTGTCTCCACTTTTTTTTTTTTTTAAATGCTAATATATAGCCGTGTTAAACAAAGGTGTATTACTGGCCTGGGAGATGGCTCAGTAGAATAAGCACTTCCCTGGCAAGCGCAAGGACCTGAGTTTGATCCCCAGTTCAAAAAAAAGAAAGTGTATTAACATATTTAAATCACCATTAACTGTAAGAAACCCCATTATTTTATATTTTAAGGAAAAAAATCATTCCACTTTAATTATGGACTACCATTGACAATAAGATGCTACAGGTTGTTACATAGATGTTAAATATGTGAAAAGTATATTTTGTTTTATTCTATTTTATTTTTTATGAACAGAATATATTTGTTGAGAGAAAGAAAGCTCCTGTCTGAGAGAGGGACAGGAGGGGGGACCCGAGTGGGTAGTTCTCCCCGGAAAAGTGTATTTTGGAATTGGCAAATTATGGTGTATCTTTTTCATCTTGGACATGAGAAATTGCTTTTACTTCTGATAAGTGAATATATGAAATACCAGCTTATAGAGACTGCCATTTCTATTACTTTCCAAGAGTAGAATTCACTTTTGTAAAGTATTCATACTTTTATACCTAATTTTATTATGGACTTATTGTTTCTGAGAGATTATTTTAACATGTTTGACCTTAACCGGCAATACTTCTGCCCTCCTTCTTATTTAAAATGGTATCTCAAGACCTGAGCTTACCCTTGGGATAAGTAGCATAAAATGCAGCAGAGACCAAGCTGACGACGATTTTAGAATCAGTCATATTCATTCTCTGATACTTCTGATAAGGTTGTATCCTCTTTGGAATCTAAAGCCAAAATGTGTGACAACCCACTTCTACCTATTGTGAAATTTTCAATTCAGTCTCATCCATCAGTCTTCGGTTGATGTAAAATCTTAGTATATCTTTGACTTAAGCCTTGGCTGCAAACCTGGTGAAAGCCTCCCTTTCTGATCCATCTTTGCCACAGGTAGCAACATTGCCAATGTACTGCTGCAGGGCTGGCAAGATATGCCATCTGGAACCTAGCTTTTGGATCTGGTAGTTTTTCCTCCTCATTTACTTATAAGATATATTTCATTATTTTATCATTATTGACAGAGACCAAATGTCAAAAGTCAGTAAGCCAACACAGGATTGTAGAAGATTGAAAATGTTCAAGTTTGAAAAACACCAAGCCACACCAACATTCTACTGCTGTCCAGGAAAAAGCCCCAGATGGAAATGTTGACAGGAATTAAGCTTATTTGTGTTATAATGTCTTTAATTTGCCAAACACCCAGGGAAGTTATTTATTTGATTGATGAGGTCTATGCAACTCATCAGATGTGTAAATAAAAGAAAAAAAATATTTTAATCTTTGAATAAAGATTTGCATACTTGAGCAAAAGAGAAAAGAGATTAATTAGTTAGATAATTACCTTTGAATGTGTCTGGAAGCTGAGAGTATTCTGCAGGATCTGAGCACTAGCTTTTTGTAAGGAATATTTAAATAATGACTGAGAGGATTTCACATGTTAAATCAAAGCTGAAATACACAAAATCTTGCAAATTCACACACATGGAAATGTTTTTGAAATATTAAAACTTAGACAATCAAAAAGAAGATAAATATGTCCCCAGGCATCATATGAATCTATAATAAAAACACATCAAGAATTTTCAAGAAAGAATGATGTCACTGTCAATAGAGAAGAATATAATAGATGTGGGCTTGGGCTGGGGAGATGGCTCAATGGAATAAGTGCTTCCCTGGCAAGCACAAGGGTCTGAGTTCAATTCCTGGTTCTGAAAAAAAAAAAAAAATAGATGTGGGCTCACTGACTTGTATTACTATCATAGTAGCTTTTATATGCACAAGTGCACATTTCAACTTACAAAATCATTATAATATTCATTAATTCTAGAGCTATCCATGCTTATACACATGCCCACAAATACATGTTTATCCAGTCTGCTCATTATTCACATTCCCAGAATGCACTTGCAGCCCTTAATCAAGTTCTGGTACATTCTCTGCCATTTATAGGTAGGTTCATGTACAAAACCACAAAGGACATCTGAGCTTCTGGATGCTTGAACCTTTGGCCACATGCCAAAGGCTGAGCAAGTGGAGTAGCTCAGTGGAAGGGAGCTTGCCTGGCATGTGGGTTCCATTCTCCCTGGATGGCAAAAGAAATAAGAAAAAAAAAAAGTTCACTTTGTTTCAGCTCTCAAACTGTAAAGAAGTGTTCTTTTGTGGTCTAATTCACTGTCATGTTGATTGAATTCTTGTGACTTAAAAATTTTATTTTAGTAATTGCATTGTTTATGATGGGTTCCAAGCACAGGGCTAAAGTTCTTCGTAAGAAAGCTTTTTGTACCTCTCAGAGGAAGTGTTCATGCTATCTCATAACCTCCATTCAGGGATGAGTAACATTGCTTTAGCCATGAGTTCAATGTTAATGAATCTATAATACATGTGTAGTAAGGCTGCCGGAAGCAGAAACCTACATAAAGCAACGTTATACAATGACTGATGAAAATATGGTGAGGAGATGCTCACAGGCACATAGCCCTGTGTCTTCCCAGATGCGGTTGTTCTCAAATATAGTGTTCTCTGTGACTTTGGAAATAACAAGAACTGACTACCTCATATTTTATCCAAGTGTCAAGGAAATCTGTTTTGTGTTTTTTGTTTTTTTTTTTTTTTTTCTAGTTTCTCTCTCACAAAGCCTGTTCTTATTTTGGGGAGACAATTCTCCACTTGATCAAGTCTTGGTTCTTGTACAGGTTGGCAAACAGCAAAGCACTAGATACAGCCTCTTTGTTCTTTTGGAAGTGAGAGTTCAGCCACCTGACCTAATTTTAGTCAGCTGCATATTGTTCTTTGGTGAGGGTGAGAAGTACAGACAAAGACACGGCTTTCCCTTACTCCCTGGGCAGTTCTCAGCTGCAGCTTCTCTGCTCATGGAGGCCAGCCCAGGTAAGCTGACAGCAACAAGATCCGGGTCCTGAGACGGAAGTTGTTATGTTTCCCATCTATTTCCCAAGCCTGATTTCCAGTTTTTCTAACAAGTATTTCAGCCAATAGGCTGGTAGCCTCCCAATGGATTATTTTTCTGATAAATTAACCAGATCTATATTTGTGGCTTGCAATCCAGAATCTAGACTGGTGTAATTAGTATATGCCAATAATTATACTGTCAAGTTGTATCTAAAAATCCATATCAATTTGGAGATAGCATGACAAATGGCATACATATGTGAAATAAATACATTTTCCTTAAAGGTTTATCATCATCTCAACTTTAACTAGGGCTTAATCTAAATTATCTTGGCAAGCACTAAGATTTTTAAAAGTGATTTAAACTCTTTTAAAAGATTAATGTTTTTAATAAAGTTATCCAAAAATAAAGGTGAATGCTTAGAGTTACTAAAATTAGGACTGGGATTTGATATATTGTTTCACTAATGAATTTGCCTTATATTTTACATTCTAAAAAAAGACATTTTAAGGATTCTTGCTTTTCTACAATCTTTCTGAACTTTAGAGTTGACATTTTCAATGCAGAAATATTTTGTAATCATAAAGCCTTTGAATTGCCCTTCAAATCCATGAAAACATAGAAATATATCTAAGTAGGAATTAAAAGCTAATGACATCACATAATTATTTTCTTTCTCTCTCTTTGTCTCTCTATATATTTCTTTTCTTCTTTTTTTTTAGAAAATTGCCTTTATTCTATTAATTTGAAAAATTAACTGGTACTGAAAAGAAGTTTAGTCCACTGGAGAGAACAGAAAAACTGAGTACCATCCCTGAGAACTGATGTCGGGGAGGGCACCTCAGTAGGGGAGGAGAAAAGAGTGCTGTGAATTAGAGCCAGGCCCTGCAGCCTGGGTGACAAAGGCTATGTCATCTTCAAGCAAAATTCCTAGTTACGAACCCAGTTCTGGAGAAGGGAACTAGGATATGTGGGGCCAGAAAGGGGCAAGAGCCTTCTTGTATCAGACATTGTGAAAAAATGGGAACTATAAAAAATGAATTTTCCATCTGACTTTATTTCCAAATACATTTTCTTGTTAAAAAACAAACAAAAAAACCCACCAATACATTCTTTGTTGTAATGACAAGTATCAGTATTAGGAAATCCAATTATACAAAAAATACTATATTTAGTCTGGGTAGATATATTTATTTTTGGTAACATACATTAAGGGGCACTAATTACATGGTTAACTATAAGGTAACTAACATGAAACCACAGAACTGTAACTCTGCCACAGCTGCATGGACTTGGGGCTTCTGGCTGAGCATGTTTTCAAAAAAAACTGTCTGCCCACCCCAGAGCGATGCCAATAACTCCAAGAGGAGTAAGACTCTGAAGTGGGGACTCATCAGAATTCCCTGCAACTGACAGATTAGAGGCAGGACATGTTAGTTATAAAGTAGTTACAGCCTAATTCACAAAAGTTACCAACTGTCTCTTTCTAGAAAGAAGCAAGAAGTTAAGAAATTCTTTGAATTAGCACCTGGTGTGTCAGGTGGAGTGCAGAAAGGGCTGTTAGAGCAGTGTTGGAAGGATCCTGGCAGGTCAGATGGGTTGGACATCATTATTAATAATCATTGCTGGCTTCTAAATACTGGTAGCAAGATGACTTCTGATTTGTAATCTTAGGTAAATTATAGATAAATGAAAAGGGCCAGTAATCATACACTAAAATTAATAAACAGCACTTCAAAATTAACCGCATGAGGGCTGTGCTTGCAGCAAGGTTTCACAAGACAAGGCACCCAGATTTTTTCTTCCCACACCTGGCTTGCAGAGCAGCTCTCATGGCCACTTCTAAAACCTCTCTCACTCCATCTTTGGTCTTCACTGAATAATCCATGTACCCAAAGGTGCCAATCCTGTTTGTCCTATCTCTGTCTTCTTCAGGTTTTACTGGCTCCTGTTTCACCTTGGCTAACTCCCATCTTGTGTGCTCATCCTTCTGAAGATCCTTCATGTTTCCAACCAGGATAATGTGTACATTAGGACAGAAACACTTCACTTCTGGAGTCCATTTTTCTGGGATATTTTTTAAACTATCAGGGCTGTCAATGAAGAAACACATCAGTATAACATTGGTATCTGGATAGGAGAGAGGCCTCAAGCGATCATAATCTTCCTGTCCAGCCATGTCCCACAAAGCCAACTCCACCTGCTTTCCATCCACTTCAATATCTGCCACATAGTTCTCAAACACTGTGGGAACATATACTTCTGGGAACTGGTCCTTGCTGAAGGCTATGAGTAAGCATGTCTTACCACAAGCTCCATCACCAACAATCACCAGTTTCTTTCGGATGGTAGCCATTGCTTACAAATACACTGCAAATGCACAGCCTGTGGAGCAAACTTGTAAAAGTACCCCAAACTTTGCAGATGATGGACAATCTCCAAGAATACTGCCATAAAAAAGGAAATCTACCCAAAGCATAACTATCTCCAACCTGTACAATACGTCAATTCACGTTCCACATGAAATGTAAAAGGCAAAATGGAGTTCTGAAGTTTCTCTCCCGTCCCTCCTCAGACAGCTCGCGCACTCGGCAGAGGCCCCAGAGACCTCACCTAGCCCGGCACAGCCGAGGGAGGAAGTGGCGGGGCGGGCGACTCTTCTCTATATATTTCTAATTAATATAATTTTATTGTATATAGCTGGAAAAAATGATCCAGTCTCTTCTGGGTTATTTTCCAAGCACACACATATGAAGCCTTTGCTTTGCACCCTTTTTCTTGACTGACTGCCTGTTGAGTATTCTAAGCCAAAAACAATGGACAGGTTTCTACTTAATTCTTTCATCTCTTTTGCAAGCTATCCAGTCCCAGGATGCTCTTGTATTTGTTTTGTTTATTTCATTTTCACATTTCAGAAGTGTTGAATAATAAAACTGTTTTCACAGATTGTATTACTGAAGAAAGTGTTTAGACATACTTGCAATTTCTCTTACTTCTTGAAAGAGATGGTTGCTGGTCCCTAAATGTTGAAGTGTTGTTGAAGACCCAAGGGAAGAAAGCAAGACTTTTGTTACTCCCAGATTAAGTGCACTCTTGGAAGGAATACAGCATGCACGTTGTGCACTGGCAGGACAACTGTCAAATCTAGAGAGATCAGTCGTTGGTTGTACCTGGGAACCTCAACCCACGCAGACCAAAAGGAGCCCCGTGAGTGCTGAGTGTCTTGGCAGCTTTCAACCGCTGCTTCCCCTGGTATTTGTAAACCAAACAAGCACACCAGGCCATCACACAAATATAAAAGCATGTTATCTATTCAAATAAAATCTGTTAAATGTTAAAAGGAAAATATAGCAACAATGACACAGAGGTCATCCAACTTGGCGTGGCTCCTCTTCATGTACACTGTGGAAGATGGAAAGCCTCAGGCCCGAAGAGATAGTGCATCCTGTTGTCTGCCTCTGCAGAAAGTTGTCCTTTTACTTTTAAGATTTTTGTTTTCGGATATTTCTTTTTCCTGGAATTATGATCAAAGCTATCATTTCATTTTTATAGTAGAATATTGGATTTATTTATTACTTTTCAATCATCCCGTGATTATGAGTGATTTTTCTTAAAAGATTTATAAGTAATAATGGTGTGTACTCCGTGAACCATTTCCCGCCACTTCATGCATATTCCTAAGCTACCTCCCTCTTCGTTCAGGCTCTCAAGTCCCTTGTCACTAATGTGGCCTGTTCTCTGCCACATGATAAATGGTAGCAAAAGGCATTAAATGTAAAGTGAAATAAAAATCCTTGATACAGTTGCAAATCAGAAATCTCAAAACTACAATAGATTTACTACTGTTCTAATTGAAATTTTCCATTGTTATGATGTCTTTCTGCTTCTGATTGCTAACATAAAGTTGAATCTCAAAGGCACCATGGGACTATCAACTTCTATATAGCTTACAATGAGAAACTGATATTAAGTTAGTGGGACAATAGCTATTTTACAATAATAAATGCTGCTGTCTTTTATTTTTTAAGAAATGAAATTCCAGGAAGAAAAGCAATAGTGTATCTATTAAGTAGACAGCAAATCTAGGAGTGCTGATACATGGCTGCAATCCCAGCCTTTGGGAGGCTGAGGCAGTATGAGCACAAATTCAACGTCAGCCTGGGCTTTGTAGTGGGTTCAGGCCATACTAGCTCACACAGGAAAACCAAAATAAATTTAAAAAATGCAACAAATAAAAGTATGATTATAAAAAAGTCAAAATAAATTTACTCATAAGATTTAGACAATCAAAACATCATTGTACAAATTCATATTTTTTTCTTTATCTCGACAGCTCTATCTTGAAATTATTTCATATCTTTTGCAGTTGAAAAATAATTGACTTTTTACTGGTACTGCCTAATGCTGCTTTCCCTTCTGAAAGTGCTCTGGGCTGATGAGATATTTCTGCCCTCATAGCTCCATTTATAACCTAAACCCATTAGTCTATGATCTCATGCTTCTCAACTGGACTTTCAAAATGCTTCCATTTAGCCACCTCGTCACCATTATAAATTAGAAATTGAAAAGATTTTTAAAAATGACTGCATCGTTCCTCTTTCACTTCTAGTTTCCTAAACATCACAAGTTACATTGGATCAGATGTGAATAAGTGTGTGATTAAAGTTTTTGAATCAAGTGAAATTATTTCTTGCTTTCTCCCATCCAAGTACTAACCAGGCCCAACCCTGCTTGGCTTCTGAGATCAGAGGAGATCGGGCACATTCAGGATGGGATGGCCATAGACATTTCTTGCTTTCTAAAGTCTCTGCCTTAGTGGCTTTTCTCATTACTGAAACACAATACCCAACAGCCACCAAAAGGCAGTGCTTGCTTCAGCTAAGGGCTGTAGAGATTTCAGTCCATAGTCCCCTGGCTCCAAGGCAGTGTGGGATGACAGGAGAAGCTGTCTACGGCAGAGAGCACAGAGGCAGTGAGCAGCAAGAGGCCTGCTTTCCATCCTTCCCTTTGGTCCCATTCAGTCTACAAACAATGTTTGATGCCACCCATATCCAGGGTGGGGCTTCCCATTTCCCACACCCAGCACATTGCTAACCAGTCAGGGAACTAATCCAATTGCCACACCCTTAACCCAGATTCACATATTCTTAACTTATATTCACACACACTAATCCACATTCAAAAGCGCTAGGTCTAGCTACCTCAGAAAAGCCCATCTCTAAGTGTATGAAACTTTGCAGGGGACATCTACATACAGTCCTCATTTCCATCAGCTTTATGATAAATGAGCAACACTGATCACAACCTGCAGTGTCAGAACAGATTGTTGTCACTGTTGCTGTTGTTATTGGTGTTTTAGAGATTAACAAGCTAATTTTATTTTATTTTACTTTAACAAGCTAAAATGTACATGAGAAAGCAAAGGATATAAGGTATGAGACATGGACTTTAAAATTTCTCAAAGCAATACTGGAACAATTTTTTTTTTCCTTTCCAATGAGGTAAGAGACACAAATACTAACTGACTTACATTGCTCTTCCTTTTCCCTTCTGTCCTCCCCCTTTCCACATCTCAGATGGGCAAATAATACAGGTTAGGAGAAACTGCTTGATCTGAGTACAGGGCTAAACAGCAAGGGATGTGCATGAAGAGCAGTAGAAAACACCCTGGGAACAGAACAGAATGCAGACGCAGAGGCCCAGTTGTGTATTCCATTGGTTATGACATAAATATGAAGTAATTGCAGGGGAGAAAGAGAATGTGTTGTGTAACTGGCACAGCAGAATAGAACTCTAAAAGTCAGATTTTTTTTCCCTTTAAGGACAAGTGTCATCTCCAAAATTCCTCAGGCAAAATCCAAAACTCCCTTGTCCTCAGCCCAGCAGAAAGGTCAAAGTATGCAGGTGCTGGCACCAGGAGGTCCAAGTCTAGTTTCATTTCCACACTCAAAAGAAGGAGACGGCCAGTTCAGGAATGAATGAGACAAGCCTGGGCACATCTGTTCCATGTTGCTCCTCTGCTCATTGTTCTTTGCTGTAAAAGACCTTAAGACACCTACAGAAGGTGAGATAGTGAGTTGGCTGAGGGAGTCCTTTCCATCTCCTTGGAACTAGCTAGGAATAAATCTTATTTCCTTTTGAACCAAATAATTGGACTCTTTCAATTTGTTCACTGGCAAGGGAATGAACCTGAGCAAACCAAAGTTTACAGAACCAAGTGATGGGTCACACTCACAGTAAAATGATCTGATTGTAATCCTGGGACCATGGGTGTAACTTTAACAGCTATAACTTTTCTTAATGTTTTAATTTTATTTGGAAAATAGGAAAATACAAACATACATTTCATGAGGCTTTTATGAAGAGTGCAATCATGACAGTTTAATTAATTAATGCCAAGATATATTCATTATTTATTTTACAGATATTTCTTGATGCTGCTGTGATCAAGGAGGAGGAGGACACTCTTCTTGGACCTGCTAGGCATGAGGCTGTGCAGCAGACATAAACCAGAACAACAGACAAGTCATAGAACTAGAGCTCTGAGCATGGCACGAAGGGGCTGTGATGGGGAAAAGGCTACCTCGGGTAGAGAACCCAAGGAAATCCTTTCTCAG